TGGGTGGATGGGTAGGTAGATGGGTGGATGGGTAGGTAGATGGGTGGATGGGTAGGTGAGTAGGTGGGTGGATGGGTAGGTGAGTAGGTGGGTGGATGGGTGGAAGGATGGGTAGAGAGTTGGTTGGATGGATGTGTGGTGAGTAGATGGGTGGGTTGATGGACAAGTGGATCAACAGACTAATGGCGGGATGTCTTGAATGTGAGTCCTCAAGCAGCCAAACAGGAGACCTGAAAGCAAAGGGAAGGGTGGAAGGGAGAGGGGAAAGCAAGCCAGACCTGGGGGTTAATGCCCAGGTGCCCATCCGTGCCCACTTACCCAGCATCCTTGCTTTCTTCCAGATCTCATCAGCTAAACCATCAGATGCAGGCATCTACATATGCCTGGCTCAGAACGCACTGGGCACAGCACAGAAGCGGGTGGAGGTGATTGTGGACACAGGCGCTATGGCCCCAGGGGCCCCGCAGGTCCAAGTTGAAGAAGCCGAGCTGACCGTAGAGGCTGGACACACAGCCACCCTGCGCTGCTCAGCCACAGGTGTGGACAGGGGCTGGCACACAGGGCAAGCAGAGCAGTGTAGCCCTGGGGCCTGAATGGGAGACACGAGATCCGAAGATGATAGCGTACCCAGGGAGGGGACTTTGTTGCTGGCATCACCCAGTGATGGCTGAGATGCCCACACAGTGATCCTCATGAAGGGACGCAATCACCCAGTCGCTGCCTCACCATCCTTATGCCCAGCTCATCCCTAGGGCAGCCCAGTGACCTCTGTGGTCTTTCACTCCACTCCACAGGCAGCCCCACGCCCACCATCCACTGGTCCAAGCTGCGCTCCCCACTGCCCTGGCAGCACCGGCTGGAAGGTGACACACTCATCATCCCCCGCGTAGCCCAGCAGGACTCAGGCCAGTACATCTGCAATGCCACCAGCCCCGCCGGCCACGCTGAGGCCACCGTCGCCCTGCACGTGGAGAGTAAGACACTCGTCCACCCTCCTTGAGCTTCCCTCTGTGCTGTGCATGGAGCTCTGAGCCCCCAGCCGGGCTACACCCTGGACAGAGCCCCAGGAGTATCATGCAGAGGGCCCTGTGCCCCTCAGCCCCCCAGAGCCGGCCCTAGTCTGAGACCCATCCCACCCCCTGGGACCCTTGCTTCCCTCATCCCCAGTCCTCTGCTTCACCATTCAGCTTCCCTGGTCCTCTGGCAAAGCACCTGGGTCCCACACCTGCTCCCACCCTGACCGCTGCTCTTCCGTGCCCTGACCTCTGTGCCCACCGCCCCCAGGCCCACCGTACGCCACCACGGTCCCGGAGCACGCTTCGGTGCGGGCAGGGGAGACAGTGCAGCTCCAGTGCCTGGCTCATGGGACACCCCCACTCACCTTCCAGTGGAGCCGAGTGGGTGGCAGCCTCCCTGGGAGGGTGACCACCAGGAACGAGATGCTGCGCTTTGAGCCCGCGGCCCCCGAGGACTCAGGCCGCTACCGTTGCCGGGTCACCAACAAGGTGGGCTCGGCAGAGGCCTTCGCCCAGGTGCTTGTTCAAGGTGAGCAGCCTTGGCTCAGGCGGGGCAGAAGGGGCTCCTAGGAAAAGAACATCCCTTGAATGTTAGGATGGCCATTTTCTGGGTCCTGGGAGGGGGAGGCATCGGGGATCTCTCTCTCTCTCTCTCTCTCTCTCTCTCTCTCTCACACACACACACACACAGAACCTCGTATATGTCCCCACAGGCCCCTCTGGCTCCGTCCCGGCCACTGCCATCCCAGCAGGACCCACACCCATCATTCAGGTCACACCTCAGCTGGAGACCAAGAGCATAGGGGCCAGTGTCGAGTTCCACTGTGCCGTGCCCACTGACCGGGGCACCCAGCTCCGTTGGATCAAGGAAGGGGGTCAGCTGCCTCCTGGCCACAGTGTGCAGGATGGGGTGCTCCGGTGAGTCAGGGGGGCAGGCCAGACTGCACTTGAGCACCCCAGCCCAAGGTGCACGGGGGAACTGTTAAGATACCTGTCCTGTGGGGCTCAGTATGAAACCGTGTCCTTGGGCAAGTCACTTCCATTCTCTGAGCCTGAGTGTTCTCAGCTGTACGATGGGTTATATGAGACCACATGAGATTATCTAAAGCACGTGGAAGGCCTTCAGTAAACAGTGGCTCGTATTTGTATTATCAGTGCTGTAGGGGAGAGGGAACGGGCTCTGGGGCCGGAAAGATACACATGATCCCGTTCTCAGCTCTGCTGTTCTGTAATGGTGTGTGATCTTGAGATCTGACCACAAGGTCTTAACCTAAAATGGGTGTGGTGACATCGGTCTGCCTGCCTGCCTGCCCTACCTCACGCGGTTAGTGGGAGACCAGAAGCTTACATCGTGTGCTAATCTCTGGTGGCTTTGAACTTCCACGCCATCACAAAGCATTCTTGTCAGTTGTTTTTATTCACTGATGTCTTACTACTTTTTCTTTACAGAATCCAGAACTTGGACCAGAGCTGCCAAGGGACATATGTTTGCCAGGCCCATGGACCATGGGGACAGGCCCAGGCCAGTGCCCAGCTGGTTGTCCAAGGTAGGATGGTGGCTTCAGGCCTCCTAAGAGCAGGAGACAGAGACGAGGGGCACAGGGACTGTGTTCCCCAGGAAGCCCCTTCAATGCCTATGAATAAAGAGAATCACCTGATGGTATCTTGCTTGTGACCAGTGTAGCACAGGGGGGCTTGACAAATATCGCAAGGGAGGGAGGAAGAAGGGAGATGGGTGGAGCGAGTGGGTGTTCAGACCAAGCAGTGAAGAAGGACAGCAGATGCCCAAGTGAGCGAACCTACAACCAAGAGCAGACGCGTGCGCGTGTTCATGAGCGAATGCACGAGAAAGCACATGGAGGCCAGGGGCTCCGGGGCTCACGTCCTTGGGCCAGGCCCACGGCAGGCTGGCCGGCCTCACTCTGCCTCCGCTTCCCTCCTCCCCAGCCCTGCCCTCGGTGCTCATCAACATCCGGACCTCCGTGCAGACCGTGGTGGTTGGCCACGCCGTGGAGTTCGAGTGCCTGGCCCTGGGTGACCCCAAGCCTCAGGTGACATGGAGCAAAGTCGGGGGGCGCCTGCGGCCTGGCATCGTGCAGAGCGGAGGCATCGTCAGGATCGCCCACGTGGAGCTGACCGACGCAGGACAGTATCGCTGCACCGCGACCAACGCTGCGGGCACCACCCAGTCCCACGTGCTGCTGCTTGTACAAGGTGAAGGCCAGCAGGGACCTCCGCGGGGACAGGGGGCACCACCAGCAAAGCGGACACGCAGTCGTCACCCGCGAGAGCACCTGCTCTGATGACGGAGCCCTACGGCCCAGTCTGATGGCAGAGACAACCTAAACACAAAACACAGACACGCGAGAGTGCAAAAGAGCAGTGAACGCAGGGCCGACACGCATCTGTGTCGTCTTCAAAGGCAGCTCCTTTTCACCCCAACCCCCAGGCCCTGCCCCCAGACTGACCGCTGCACCCTGCCCTAGTGCCTCCTCGGGTCCCCAGGGGGCAGCACAACGTTCCGCCGGGCTGTGTTGAAGAGTCTTAGGCTGCGGAGTCCAACGGACCCGTCCCTGAGCCCCTACTGCCCAGTTCCACGTGTGCAGCCAGCAGGGAGCCTCATCTGTGACGTGGGAACACAGTGCCTCCCTTCAGGGGCTAGTGTGAGGATGGAACGAGTCAGGACACAGGCTGGGCTCTCAAATGGTGGCCGTCATTGGGTTGATGGCCCATGTCTCCTTCCCCACTCCTAGCCTTGCCCCAGATCTCAACGCCCCCAGAGGTCCGTGTACCTGCTGGTTCTGCAGCCGCCTTCCCCTGCATGGCCTCTGGCTACCCCACTCCTGACATCACCTGGAGCAAGGTAAGTGCCGGGCAGGGGCGTGGCGGGCATGCCTGAGGGGCAGGGACCGGGTCTTCGCGGTCTCGGTGCCCCCAGGACCTGGCCCGGGCTCGGCACAGGGTACGTGCCCAGTGTTTAAGGGTGGGCCTGCGGCCAGATGGGAGGCAGGCCCTGCGGAGGTGCGGGCAACGCCCGGCTCCAGAGTGCGGGTGTGTTTGCAGCTGGATGGTAACCTGCCACCCGACAGCCGCCTAGAAAACAACATGCTGCTGCTGCCTTCCGTCCGACCTCAGGACGCAGGCACCTATGTCTGCACGGCCACTAACCGCCAGGGCAAGGTCAAAGCCTTTGCTCATCTGCAGGTGCCGGGTAAGACACCTTTCGGACTCCGGACTCGGCAGCGCCCTGCCCGCTGCTGGGGGGGCATGGTTTCTAGCTGTGTTCTCTGCCCGCAGAGCGGGTGGTGCCCTACTTCACGCAGACCCCCCACTCCTTCCTGCCGCTGCCCACCATCAAAGACGCCTACAGGAAGTTCGAGATCAAGATCACCTTCCGACCCGACTCAGCCGACGGTGAGCAGGAGGGGGCTGCCGTGGGGTGGGGATCTCCTGGAGTAAGCACCACCACTCTCAGAGCCCTAGTGGTCCCCGGTCCTACCCACCTCCCTCAGCTCCCTGTCCCGGGACCGCAGGCCTGCCACCTGGGCCCTCTTTCGTGCCTCCTCCTGTCTCTATGCCCCACGCGGCAGTACCTCCCACCTCTGACGGGTGCACCTGCATCCAGCCTCCTGCCCCAGCTTCCTGTTCATTCTGTACTCCTCCTTCCCTCCTTTGTCTCCATCTCTCAGCCTTCCCTCTTCTCTCTCTCTCTCTCTCCCTCTCTCTCTCCCCCTCCCCCCCTCCCCCCTCCATCTCCTACGGCTCTCCGACTTTCCCTGTCCAGGCCTCCTTCTCTACTCCGGTGAGTCTCTGCCTCCCTGCCCTCCTTCAGGTAGGCCCTCCAGCGTGAGTGAAGCAAACTCCGCGTCTTGAGGGGCTCTGAGCCAGCCCTGTGTAAGGGCATCCGGAGAAAGCGAGAAGGCCCTGGCTGTGCTGGGCACACAGAGGGCGGGGTGGGAGCTGGAGAGTGAAGGCTCCCCGGCTGCGGTCACTCACTCCCGGGGCTGGGCTGACAGGGAGCCCGTGGCTGGTGGGGGAGGCCCTGACACGGCTGTGCTTCCCCCCCCACCCCAGGGATGCTGCTGTACAACGGCCAGAAGCGGATCCCAGGGAGCCCCACCAACCTGGCCAACAGGCAGCCCGACTTCATCTCCTTCGGCCTTGTGGGGGGAAGGCCCGAGTTCCGGTGAGACCCTCGCCCTCCCCGTTTACAAGGGGGCTGGGGGACCGGACTGCGGGGCTTCGGTCAGGCACACACTGCCCTGGACTGAGATGAATGGAGGAGGGAGGAGGTGCGGCCGTTACCCTCGGTGACCGCCTGGAGTGGGCGCGGTGTGTCGGCCAGGTGCAGGAGGAAGCCACCTAGACTTGCACGAAACTGTGGCCGAGATGCTCGGTGATGCTGAGCGCGTCTTTGCTGGGTGGGACTCCTGCAGACCGGGCTTCGTTCATTCATTCGCTCAGAAACTATTTGCTGGACCCCTACTCTGTGCCAGGCACTGATACAGACAGATCAAGTTCTGGCCTTGGGGGAATAGATATTCTGGTTGCGGAAGAGCAGCCATAAAGGGGGAAAACAACAAGGTGATCTCCAGGGCCACGGAGCCAAGGGCTGTTAGCACCCTGGGGCCTGCTCTGGATAAGCTCTGGAGATGAGGTGGGGGGGTTGGGGCGGGGGAAGAGAGGATCTGAGGAAGGGGCAGGGTTGGGGCGAGCTGGGGGTGGGTGATAGGGTTGGGGGGACAAGGCAGGGACAGGAACTAGATCAGAACTGCAGGAAATGGTGACATCACCCCTTCCCAGGCTGGGCCCCCTGCCAGGCCCTTCTGACCAGCCCTGTATGCTCTCCCCTGCCCTGGCCCCATCCTGGGGAGCAGGTTTGACGCAGGCTCGGGCATGGCCACCATCCGCCACCCCACACCGCTGGCGCTGGGCCAGTTCCACACCGTGACCCTGCTGCGCAGCCTTACCCAGGGCTCCCTGATCGTGGGCAGCCTGGCCCCGGTCAACGGGACTTCTCAGGTGAGGCCCCACTGGTGCCCCCATTTCCAGCCCCCTCCCCCACCTCTGCCCAGCCCCTCTCCACTGTCCGTGGCTTCTCCACTCCCCAGGGCAAGTTCCAGGGCCTGGACCTAAATGAGGAGCTCTACCTGGGCGGCTACCCCGACTACGGTGCCATCCCCAAGGCGGGGCTGAGCAGCGGCTTCGTAGGTGAGCCCCGGCCCTGCCGCCGTGCCTGGCCGAGCCTCAGCTGGCTGGCTGGCTGGCGGAGCCCATGGGAGCCTGGGAGAGCGCTGCAGGGTGCGGGCTGGGGCTGGGCAGGCCTCCCGGCACTGCCCCCCTTCTCATCGTGGCTGCCCTCCGCCCAGGCTGTGTCCGGGAGCTGTGCATCCAGGGCGAGGAGATCGTCTTCCACGACCTCAACCTTACCGCGCACGGCATCTCCCACTGCCCCACCTGTCGGGACCGGCCGTGCCAGGTAACCCCACACCGCATGCGCCACCTCACTGCCCCTGGCCACTGCCCTCCGCTGGGGCAGCCCCTGTGGGAAGTGGGGGAGAGCCAGGGGGTTCTCCGCCTGACTTCTGGGGGCGGCTTCACAGAACGGGGGCCAATGTCAGGATTCAGAGAGCAGCAGCTACGTGTGCATCTGCCCGGCTGGCTTCACCGGGAGCCGCTGTGAGCACTCCCAGGCCCTGCACTGCCACCCAGGTGTGTGACCCACCCTTCCGATCGCTGCCACCCCTGGGTGCTTGCCTCTGTCCGTAGCTGCCCCTCCATATCCGCCCATCCCCCTGCTGACTGTACTTACCACACTCTCACCCAAGTACTCGCCCCTCCTCCCAGAGACTGACTTCCATCCCTGCCACCCTAACACCCACTCTGCTCCCCAAGTTCTCACCCCCATCACTGCTGCCAGGCAACCCTCCCCCAGCCTCTCACACCCCAGGTACCTACCACTTTCCCATCTCTCACCAAGGCACTCAGCCCATGACCTGCCTCCCAGGTACCCAGCACCCCACACTGGTACCCCATCACTCCTGCACTTCCCTCCCATGCTGTCCCCCGCCCGGCCTCCTTGGTGCCCCCCCTACCCCGCCGTCATCCATTCCTCCTGCCCAGTCTCCTGATGCAGTCCTCCCAGGCTGGCCAAGGCCTCCGGGGTGCAGTAGGTAAGGCTGTAGCATCAGGACCCCACCCTCTCCCGGGCCACCTTATTGTCCTTCTTGCTGGCCCCTCTGTCCCCCAGAGGCCTGTGGGCCGGACGCCACCTGTGTGAACCGTCCTGATGGCCGAGGCTACACCTGTCGCTGCCACCTGGGCCGCTCAGGGGTGAGGTGTGAGGAAGGTGAGTGGAGCCGGACATGAGTCCCTGGGGAGCCCGGGAGGCATGGGGGAAGCTGGGTAGGGACACTCTGAGGCCACAAAGGGCCCCGTGGATGGTAACATGAGTCCAGAGCCAGAGGGCCTCAGAGTCACCTGGCCAAGCCTCTGCCCAGCCTGAATCTCTCCCATGAGGGTCTGTGAAGCAACCCCCCTGCCCCGAGGCGCTTCCAGCCTGGTCTGCTGTGCCCAAGGGCAGGCGCTCCTGTGGTTGGCAGCTCCTAGCCAGCTGGTCCAGAGCCCCGGGGTCTGGGGCGGGCCGGGCAGGGACGCCGGTGCCCCCACTGCCCCTGGCTGAGCTGTGGTGCCGCAGGTGTAACGGTGACCACCCCCTCCATGTCGGGCACCGGCTCCTACCTGGCACTGCCCGCCCTCACCAACACACACCACGAGCTGCGCCTGGACGTTGAGTTCAAGCCTCTGGCGCCCGACGGCATCCTGGTGTTCAGCGGGGGGAAGAGCGGGCCTGTGGAGGACTTCGTGTCCCTGGCAATGGTCGGCGGCCACCTGGAGTTCCGCTACGAGTTAGGGTCAGGTGAGCACCGGTCGCTGAAGGCAGATGGGCTCTAGGTGCCAAGCTCTGCGCCCCCCTCGGCTCCCCAAGGCCCAAGGAGGGTTGGAGGAGTAACTTCCGAAGTCAGACCGACCAAAGTCCCTTGTTTGCTCACGTTCTTTCACTCCACGTGTGACTTTAAGCAAGTCCTCTAGCCCTCTGCCGGGTTCCTCCTGGACCACCCTATCCGCTCAAGTGCCCGTATGGGGCGGGGGGGGGGGGGGGGGGGGGGGCCCTCCGTGCGCGCCATCCCCATCTGGCATTCCCCCCGCCCGCCCCAGGGCTGGCTGTGCTGCGGAGCCCCGAGCCCCTGGCCCTGGGCCACTGGCACCGAGTGTCTGCCGAGCGTCTGAACAAGGACGGCAGCTTGCGCGTGAACAGCAGAGCCCCCGTGCTGCGCTCCTCACCAGGCAAGAGCCAGGGCCTCAACCTGCACACCGTCCTCTACCTTGGGGGCGTGGAGCCCTCTGTGCGGCTGCCCCCCGCCGCCAACGTTAGCGCCCACTTCCACGGCTGCATGGGCGAGGTGAGGAGCAGGGGAGAGGAGGGGAGGGTGCAAGCCGGCCCCTCCACCCGCAATAAGCCCAGACGGTTTCCCGTCGAGCCTCAGTTCCCTCCTCTGCGAAATGGGGGTAGTGACACCTCCTTCGAGGAGTGACCGTGCTACTGGACGTCCCTGGCACGCAGGAGGCATTCAGCTTAGGTTCCTCCCTCGCTGGCGCGAGAGTCCCTTCCGCTTAGGTTCCCAGCTCCCCTCTGCTGGGCCACTTGGCCTCTGCCCCCGGCCTGCCCAGAGCCCCCTCAGCGTCCCTGTGCCCACAGGTGTCGGTGAATGGGAAGCGGCTGGACCTCACCTACAGCTTCCTGAGCAGCCGGGGCGTCGGGCAGTGCTACACCAGCTCCCCATGTGAGCGCCAGCCTTGCCGGCACGGCGGCACCTGCATGCCGGCCGGCGAGTACGAGTTCCAGTGCCTGTGCGCAGGTGGCTTCAAGGGTGAGCCAGCCTGCCCGGCCCCAGCGGGGAGGGCACGGGGTGGTGGGTGGCCGCTGCGGCCCACACCCGCTCACGGCTCCCCGGCCCGCAGGAGACCTCTGTGAGCACGAGGAGAGCCCCTGCCAGCTCCATGAGCCCTGTCTGCACGGGGGCACCTGCCAGGGCACCCGCTGCCTCTGTCCCCCCGGCTTCTCTGGCCCCCGCTGCCAACAAGGTAACTGTCCTGGCTTCTCCCCACCTCCTGCTCGGGGCCCTGGGGGGGAGCACATGGGACCCGCGGTGTCTCTGCCCACCAACCGCACCTGCCTCTCCTCATAGGCTCTGGACAAGGCACAGCGGAATCTGAGTGGCATCTGGAAGGCAGCGGGGGCAGCGGTACGTACTTCCTGTGGCCCGAGAGGCTTGTCTCCTCCGCGTCTTCCCGTCCCAGCCCCTCTCCCGGGGAGCCCACACTCTCAGTTCCGGCCTGTGAGCAAGACAAGGCCACGTGAGAGGCTCACTGGGCTCAGAGAGACAGAATAAAGAAGAGCCCAGCAACACGGAGCTGTTTCGGGCTAGCTGAGCTGGCTAGGCGGCCCAGCGTGCGTCCTTGAGCCACTCTGACCTCAGGTTCCTCCTCTACATTCACACATCCTGTCAACAAACCCTTGCATGCCCATCCTTGCCCTGGAGGCAGGAAATGTGAGATGAACAAGGCAAGACCTTCCTTCTCGAGGATTCCACAGTCTATTTAAAAGCAATGATCGTTTCTTAAAAATCAGTGTTTATTGAACATTCGCAAATGCTGGGCCAACTGCTTTGTAGATACCCATCTTCTTATTTCTCATTAATGTGATAGGAGAGGTAGTGGTAGAGTGGCTAAGAACGTGGGCTCTGGATTCAAATCCTAGCCCTGCCATCTACTAGCTGTGTTCCCTTGGGTGAGTCACATACCCTTCTGTGCCTCAGTTTCCTCATGTGTAAAATAAAGAGAAATGACATCCTTCCACGAGGGTGGGATAAAAGTTTGTGTCAGGGTACAATTATTCAATGTACTCAAAATGCCTAGAACAATGTCTAGTCGACAGTGGGTACGGAGTGTTAGCTTTTGTTAACATCATATCTAAACCATAGGATTATTGTAAGGATCCCTTTAAATGAAAGGATGCTTTCCTGTGATGCTCTCTGCACGTTGTTTGGCACATAGCAGGTGCTTGGGAAATGTTCGCTGTTCGCATCATTGGGCGGAGGGTGGCCAAGTGTCCCCTACCCTTGTAGGCCCACAGGGACCAGCACTGGCCTGTTGGCTGGGTCCAAGCAGGTAGGGCTGGGGAGGCTAGAACCACACACAGTACAGACGTTGGGGCCCAAAGGTCCGGGTTGCCGTGCTGGCTTCCCACTTTCTGGGCAGGTCACTCACACCCCGCCCCCAGCCTGTCTTCACCTCTGTAGGATAGAGGGAGCACAAAGGTTCTGAACCTCTTTGTGCCATGGACCTACGGGACCAGCTCTCCCGGTTTGCTCAAGACTGAGGGGTTTCTCAGGATGTGAACTTTAGGAACTAAAACCAGGACAGGACTCAGCAAATAGGGACAATTAGTCCCCTTATCTGGACCCTACTGACTACATAAAATAAAATACATAGGATTTCAGAGGAAACCAATTGTACTGAAATAAGGTTCTCAAATATTTAGAATTTTCTGATTTGTAACATACGAGCTTCTGTATGAACACAGTACATAACGAGATCGAGTGGTGGCCCTAATAGCTACCACAATTTCAGGAAGCTCTGAAGTATCTGTAACTACTGCCGCGTGATAAGGAAATGTGTTAGTGTCCCACTATGGCTCCTTGGCTTTGCTGCCCACATGCATAGTGGAAGGAACCGCTACATTTCAGTGAGAAGTGAGTGAAGGTCGAGCTACAGTGTCTGCCCGTCCAAGTTCACAGGCCCCTGACTTGTGTCCATAGCCCCCCAGGGTCTCTGGAGACTGCAGAGGAGCACACGTTGGGGTGGAGGTGGGGGTCCGGGAGCCCATGCGGTGGCTGCTCCGTGCAGACGAGCAGGGGCCTCACCATCCCCCACGTCATCCCGCAGATGCCCCTGGGCAGTATGGAGCCTATTTCCACGATGACGGCTTCCTCGCCCTCCCTGGCCGCATCTTCTCCAGGAGGTGAGGCGGGTGTTGGGGGAGCTGGTGGGGCCAGGGAGGGGAACAGGAATCTGCACCTTCTTCCCCCTCACCCGCCTCCTCCACTCCCAGCCTGCCCGAGGTGCCGGAGACCATTGAGCTGGAAGTTCGGACCCGCACAGCCAACGGCCTCCTGCTCTGGCAGGGCGTGGTGAGTGTGGGCGGCCGGCTGGGTCTCAGGGTCCCCAGCCCCCTGGTGGCCAGGGCCGTGAGAGGGAGGAGGGCCGAGGCCACAGCGGCAGGGGCCTCGGCTCTGCAGACCAGGAACCCCAGTGACCCCACGCTTCCCTGGCAGGACGTGGGAGAGGCCGGCCGTGGCAAGGACTTCATCAGTCTCGGGCTTCAGGACGGGCACCTTGTCTTCAGGTGGGTCCAGGCACCTGGCCCTTCTTCCCTCCCCCTCCCTGGCCCCCCACACTGCTTCAGGGGCTCCCCCTCTGCTCGGTGCCACGGCTCCTCCCACGAGAAGCTGCAGGCCCCCAGCCGCACATGCCACCACCGTCTGCCCCAGCTCACGCTGTCTTGGGCCTGTGTGACTGCAGCTACCAGCTGGGCAGTGGGGAGGCCCACCTTGTCTCTGAGGACCCCATTGATGATGGCGAGTGGCATCGGGTGACCACACTGCGGTAAGAGAGCCCGCCCAGGCCCTGGGGCGAGGGGCTCAGAGTTCTGCGGTGGGAGAGGACGCCGCCCACCACGTGCGTGTCTGGGAGACAGAACTTGAAGCCAGGGTGGATGAAGAGCCCACCAGCCCAAACACAGACTTCCAGGGCAGGACAGAACACCATGGGGGGGGCGGGGGGCGGGGGGAGACAAACACCCGAGGGGACGGGTGACCGCTGGGGGAGGTGCTAGGAAGCTGTGTTTGTGGGGCCAGATCTCATCCAGTGGGGGGAAGGAAAGAGCGCCAAGCAGGGGCAGGACTTCCTGTCTGGCATCTCTGTGGCAAAGGGAGGGGGGACTCTTGGAACTGGTGGTGAGGGGCCCACCCCCGTTCCACCAACAGAGAGGGCCGGAGAGGCTCCATCCAGGTGGACGGTGAGGAGCTGGTCAGCGGCCAGTCCCCAGGCCCTAACGTGGCAGTCAACACCAAGGGCAGCATCTACATTGGTAAGTCCCGAGCTCGGGCCTCAGTGCAGGCCTCGGGCATCCTCCTCGGGGCAAAGGGAGGGCATGGGACCCCTGCAGAGCTAGGGCATGCTGCCTTCCTCAGCCCCTGGGCTCCGGGAGCTGACGGGCCCTGTCCTCTCCCCCCGCCCCACATCTCCGCAGGCGGAGCTCCCGATGTGACCACACTGACCGGAGGCCGGTTCTCCTCGGGCATCACAGGCTGTATCAAGAACCTGGTGCTGCACTCGGCCCGGCCTGGCGCCCCACCCCCGCAGCCGCTGGACCTGCAGCACCGCGCCCAGGCCGGGGCCAACACCCGCCCCTGCTCCTCGTAGGCAGCTGCCTGCCCCAGATGGACTCCCGGGCAGCATCCCAGCCCCACGACATCGACTATATTATTATTAATATTATTATGATGAATATTTTGTAAGAAACTGAGGCAATGCCACGCTTTGCTGCTACTGCCCTGGGCTGGACTGGAGGGTGGGCACGCCACCCCCCCGTACACAAACACACCTGGGCAAAGCCGCAGGCTGGTAGGTAGGGCAGGTTGGATGAGAGCCGGTGCCTCAGAGGGCCGCCAGGACTTGCGGTCAGACACGGTGGCCAAGTGGGCTCCCACCTGTCACTACCACTCGAGAGCCCCTCCCCGCCACGGAGCTGGGCTGTGCAGTCTGGCAGCCCTCAGGCAGCCCTCAGTCCCATAGGAGCCAACCGCAGCCCGCAGCCTGGTGCCTCCCCAGCTCCCTTTGCCAGGCAGCTCACCCCTGGGCAGGCCAGCCCGCCACCGCCAGCCCGTGTCCCAGCCCCTTCCACCTCTGCCGAGCCAGCCGGGCCCCCTGCCCCTGGCAGCCTCCCCCTCCCACCGAGCCCTCCTGGCCCGCATCCCGCCACCCCCACCCCCACCCCCCCAACACCTGGCCCAGGGCCCCTGCCCTCAGGGGCGGCAAGGGAAACTCCACCCCAACTCTTCCCAGGAGCTGCTACAGGCAGAGCCCAGCACTGAGAGGGTCTCCCCACCCACACCAGGCCATACCCCACCCCCCCCCACTGATCTGGAAGTGAAGGCCCAGGGGACATGGGGGGAGGAGGGCACTGGTGGTTGAAAAGAGTTAGTGCCTTGGGTGGGGGATGCCTGGGAGGGACAGGAAGGGCACATGACAGCCCTGCCCCGTCTGTGGGGAGCCCAAGGGCCCGTCTGGGGGCACGTGCCCTCCCCACCAGCAGCCCGCAGATGTGGGGTCAGGACGCCTGGACTCCATGTCCTAGAAGGGACCCTCCTGTGGTCTTTGTCTTGATCTTTCTTAATAAACGGTGCTATCCCTGCCACAGCTGTTTCCTGCACCTCTAACTGGGGCTTGACTCGGTGGAACCCGAGAGGGGGCTGGACGGGGTGGCAAAGCCAGGCAGGTGAGCTGCGGGAGTGAAGCAAGGCAGCTGCCAGGGAGTGAGGCCCCTGCTCCCCACCCTCCCCGGATCCAGCAGAGTGCCAGCGACCTCCCGAGCTTCGGGGCCACTTAGCCCCCATGTACCTCACGACAGCCACGAGGCAGGAGAGGAGCAGACTGAGCCTGCGGGTTTGGTGATGTGCCCAAGGTCAGGTGGCCCTCCTGGGGGTGGGGTGGAACCCGAAGTCCGTCTGACCCTAGAGCCCACTCTCCTGTTTCTGAAGCCACAGCCTCTAGGGATGTCCTCCCTGACCCTGGAAGGTTGGCCCACTGGGCTGCAGCCCCCCCAGGAGCCACCCGGCCCGGACACAGGTAACAGGCAGTGCAGCCAGGGCAGAGGCCGTGGGCACCAGCCCGCCAGGCCAGCCAGCGGGACGAGCGGTAGCACCAGAGGAGGCCAGCAGAGGCCAGGACCAGCGAGGAGACCAGCGCCACGCCTCGGAGCTGGGGGCCTGCCAAAAGAAAGGGAAAGCCCACTTAGGCCCCAGCCTGGGCCTGCTGCCCCGTGCCTGTCATGTGGGGAGGGACAAGTGTGACCTTGGCGAGAGGAGTGGGAGCAGACAGAAAGCAAGAGCCATCTACCTCCCGGAGGAGCTGCTGTACCCTGCTGTTCAGGGGCCCGGCCTGCGAGGGGGGTCCTCTGGGCGGCCATCTGGAGAGTTCCTGCAGACCTGAGAGCCGGGGAGAGCATCGGGGGCTTGGACGTGGGGCCATCCATACTCCCTGCCTGGCTGGGCACCAGAGAGGGACCTGCAGCGGGAAATAATAGAGGAACACACAGAACTTTCCAGGGCTTGACTTGGGCTCCTTGAAGCTTCCCCAAACCTGTCTGAGTTTGTTACTATTAGTATTTCCATTTCACACATGAGGGAAGTGAGGCACAAGAGAGGTTAAGTCACTTGCCCAGGTCACAAAGCAGGAAGTGCTAGGGGAGGACTTGAGCTCAGGCAGCCCAGCTCCAGTGCCCAGGGTTTATAAATGGAGCTATTTCTCAAGAAGGAGGTTGTGTCTGTACTGAGCATTCTCTGGGCACCGAGCACTGTGCTGGGTGCTGGGCTCCTTACCTGCGGTATTTCACTTAGTTTAGGACACTCCGAAAGGTTAGGTTTATCAGCCCCTTCAGCCAGGTGTTTTTTTGCAGTAAACAACCTGTTCAACAGTACATAGCAGCCCTGTTCGCAGGATGTGGCATCTTAGATTCCCAGGAAGCTCCTGGGTGGCCTATTCTGGTCCCCCCCCCCCGTCCACAGAGGTCATTCCTGGTCATGCTACTCCCTGACTCTATGACCTTGGGCAAGACATTTCTCCTCCCCTAGGCCTCAGTTTCCCCATACATAAAATGTGGAGACAAGACTGGACAATGGTTTCCAAAGTAAGTCTTGAAGGTCCAACTCAGGTCCCTCGGTGGGACATCAGCCAGGGCCTGAGCCCCCAGGTCCAGTTAAATAGGGCATCTTCCCTTTTGCTGTCTTTGATCCTCTGCAAAATTTCACTTAGGAAAAGCTTCCACCACTGAAATATCATTTGGAAGCAGCTGGATTAGATCATCTCCAGCATCATTCCGGCTCTAACTTGCTCTGATCCTCAGATAGTCCGGCCTACACAGATTCCCCACTGCTGTGCTTCACCTTATTCTCTCCTGCCATGCCCCTGCCCCCAGCCTCCCCACTGAGGCCCTGCCCCCAGGGAAGGGGAGCTAGCCCCGGTTTCCCTCCTAGCTGCTCAGCGGGGCCTGGGCCGCACCCATCACTGACCTCTGCAGTCGGCTGGTGGCCAGGAAGCCTGGTCACTACCATCACCACAGTTGTCCACGCCCCAGCGATCGCACACACCAGGCTCGGGGGTATGCACCTGCCGTTCTGACAGCAGAAGTAGGCACCGCAGGCTCCTGGGGCCAGCAGGGGAGGCATGCGATGAGAACCCTGAGCCAGCCCGTGATACACAGGGATGCGTAGCCCTATAGTGAGGGAATGTGGGAGCTGCAGATGAAAGCATGGGTGGGTGTGTCATGGGAGACAGGTGTGTGGTCACCAGGATGATGCTGATGGCTGACATTTACTGAGTTCCTATCCCCGGGCTGGGCACAGCTCTAAGCACTCCACTCACACCCCAGCTCCTGAAGTTCTCACAATAACCCTACACAATAAACACTTTTACTACCTCCATTTCAGAGATCAGAAGACAGGCCCGGAGAGCTTAGTTCACTTGCCATCGGCTCTGCCTGGCCTTCTCTCCCCGAAGTAACTGCATGGTTCACTCCCTTCAGGTCCACACTCGAATGCTACCTGCCAGGGGCCCCTGAGCTCCACGTGAGAACGGCACGCCGCCCGCCCCCCCAGCGCTCTGATCCTCCTTGTCCTGACTTCCATCCCTCTGCAGCACTCCTCACCTCAACAGAACATGGATTCACTCGATTATTTGTTTATGGTCTGAGTCTCCCTCATAACGTCAGCTCAGAGAGGACACGGACTTCTCTTCTGTTCATTGCTGTAGCCCTGGAGCCTAGAACAGCACCTGGCATATTGCAGGTGCTCCCATAACATTTGTTAAATGAATGAATATGCACGCAGGTGAACGAATTGTATGACTTGATGCGCAAGGTGTGCAGAGAGGTTGACTTACCCAGCATCTCATTCTGTGGAGAAAAGCTGTTGCAGGTGGGGTTGCCCAACACCCTGGCTCAGGGGTGGGCGTGGGAATCAGAACGTTCCACTTCCTGGCCACGGAAGTGGACACACGACCCACATGACTAATCAGATTTGGCCCTGGCACTTTTGCTAGAACCATAAGATGCTCACTCTCCATTTCGTTGAGGTTAGAGCTATAATGGTGACCATGGACTTGGAGCTGCAGGGTCATCCTGCTGCCAGATAGAAAGAGAAGCTGCCTGAGATGGAGGCCAAACAGACGCCCACAATGCAAAGACAGAGAACAAGGAGACAGCACCCAGGTGTCATTACTTGAACTGCTGGATGCAGCCATACCTGAACCAACACCTTAATATCCCAGTTATAGGAGTCCCTCCCCATTCTCTTTTGGCTAAACCAACTTGAGTTGGGTTGCTTTTGTCTACAAATGAAAACGAAGACCATAGAGCAGGTATGTAGATGTAAGAATGAATGTGAGAGAAAACACAAACAGTAGTGTGGTTATGTATGGGCGGTCATAGGTGGCTGTCAACGTAGGAGTGTGTGCATGAACCAGGCAGGCTGTGACTGCAGGTGTGAGTGACGGGGACCGTGCGTGTGGCCTAAGGATGTGAAATGAACCTTTCTTCATTCAAATGACAAAACTGATCTAAGGAAGCCAGACCTGGGACAGGGCCTCGTCCCTGCCTCCTTTCAAGGAGTTCAATCCTGGGCGCCTGGGTGGCTCAGTTGGTTAAGCGACTGCCTTCGGCTCAGGTCATGATCCTGGAGTCCCTGGATCGAGTCCCGCATCGGGCTCCCGGCTCGGCGGAGAGTCTGCTTCTCCCTCTGACCCTCCTCCCTCTCATGTGCTCTCTCTCTCATTCTCTCTGTCTCAAATAAATAAATAAAATCTTTAAAAAAAAAAAAGAAAAAATCTAAAAAAAAAAAAAAAAAAAGGAGTTCAATCCTGCTGAACACATAGCAGCGGCAACATCCCGGGCTCCCTGGCTGACAGCTGCACCTTGCAAGCAGGCAAGGCCACAGGAAGAAAGAGAGGGAGGGAAAAGGAAAGAGAGGGAGGGAGGGAGGGAGGAGTTAATTCTCAATCAGCCAGTGAGAGCTGTTCGCAAAACAGAGGCCCCTGGGCATACCACAGCCTACAGGAGCCAGAAAGGAGACCCCAGGCACCACTGGTCTTGGCACTAAGGATTTAGACTCCAAATTTCATATAGTTCCTCCCAGAGCCAGAGACTAAGGGGGAAGAGAGAAAGAATCTAAAATCCAAAATTCAGGGGCGCCTGAGCGGCTCAGTCGGTTAAGCGTCCAACTGTTGATTTTGGTTCGGGTCATGATCTCAGGGTCCTGAGATGGAGCCACACAATGGGCTCCGTGCTGGGCCTGGAGCCTGCTTAAATTTCTTTCCCTGCCCCTGCCTCCCACCCCTGTTCTTGCTCGTGCACACGCGCTCTCCCTCTCTCTCCCCACCCCCCCAAAAATGTGTTTTTAATTAAAAAATAAAATCCAAAATTCAGACCAGGCATCAGGCCAAGGGAGAAAAAGCTGGGGGCCTTGTCTAAAGAGACCATGGGACAGCCCGAGGGCTCTGCCTGACCAGCTCCATGTTAAAGGGCTGTCCAGGGCCTGGCTCGTTGAAGTCTAGTTCCTGGTGAGTCTGCTCGAGCCCTCACAGGGCCCCGCGCTCTAGTCTCAAAGTGCTCGCAATCCCACATTTAAATCCCAGCCTGGATATCTTGCCAGCGGTGGCAATAAAGCTTCTCTGTGCTTTTGGCGTCTTCTGGGTTTTGACAGCTCGCCTGCTCGCCATCACCGGACACAGCCTCTGCTGCAACACAGGGGAGCATCTCCGATCCTGGGGGAGCCTGCACGGGCTAAAGCCTTGAACTCAATTTGAACAAGAGGACGTGCTCTAGCTGCTAAAGCCCAGCCACTCCGCTTGTGAGCAGAGAGGCCTGGGCACTTTACCTAACCCCCCCGAGCCTGTTTCCCACCCGGAAACATGAGCACAAGAAGATGGGCACGTGAGGCTGTGAGGAACAGACAGATCTGGCATGCCAAGGGCAAAGGCAATGCGTAATAAATGATCATTAACTACTTTCAGTTTCCTTTCCTTGCTGAAGTGGGTATCTGTCACTTACAGTCACCAGAGACCCCACTCATCCCCTCTGCTTTCATCTGAAGGGCTGACCCAGGACAGAAGAGCCGTGTGTGAACTTGAGAGTGTGTAAGTTGTATCTAAGCGTGCAAATTGGTACTGTATGTGTATGAGGTGTGTGAGTGTGCAGTATGTCAGGTACATGGGGTGTGTGTTGCAGTGTGTGAGGCACATGGGTGTGGAGTTGTGTAAATGAGTGCAAAGTTGTGGGCTGTATGCACATATACATGTGTGTGTGAGTGTGGGTGTTGGGGTGTGAGGTTTGTGGGTGTGGGGTGGTGTGAATGAGTGTGCAGGGCATGTGGGGGATGTGTAGTGTGAGTGGGGGGTGTGAATGAGTGTGCAGGGTGAGTGTGGGTGTGGGGTGTCAGGTGTGGGAGTGGGTGGGAGTGCGTGCGGGTGGGCGTCAGGGGCTGGTAGGGGGGCAGCCATACGCGGCCCAGGGAGTCAGATTTACGGGGTTGGCTCCGGGGGTCTGGATTGGCCCCTCCCGGGACTGCGCTCAGCCCGCTGCCAGTCCCCCTCCCCGCCCACACCCAGGCCCCAGCCCCCTAAACCCCCATCCTCTGGTGCTTCAGGTGCCACCCCAGTGACCCCAGCCCGCAGGTGCCCCCGGCTTGGGGGCCCCGGCCCCGGCCCCGGCCAACAGCCCCCACCCACCCAGCCGGAAAGAGGTGGCTTCTTCGCCCACGAAGTCCACGCGGGGCCAGGAAGGGTCGGGAGGACGCCACCGGGGCGGGGATGGTCAGGCCGCAGAGAGGGGCGCCGAGGGGCCTCGGCGCCCCCGGCGGGCCCTCGTAGAACTGCAGGTAGGACCCGGGGGCGCACCCGTCGGCCGGCGCGGGGGAGGAGGCGTTGGGCGCCGGGGACACTGGGGGCGCCCGGGCCGCCGCGGCCAAACTGTACACCAGGAAGAAGCGGAACTGGAAGCGGATCCTGTCGCCGGCGGCCGCCGCCCGCATCCAGAGCCCGCAGTCGGTGTCTGGGGCCACGAAGTAGAACCTGCGCGAGGCGGAGTGCGAGTGCAGCCGCAGGCCGGCCCTCTGCCACGTCTGCCCGCAGAGGTCCACCAGGTCGGCTGCAGGGAAAAGCACGGACCCAGGAACCGCGCGGCCAGGTTCCGAGCCCTGCCCGCTGTGTGACCCCAAGTAAGTCACTCCCCCTCTCTGAGCCTCAATTTCCTCATCGGTAAAATGGAATGATTGCCCGACCTCAGAATTTTTGTGAGGGTTGAATAATTTAATTCGGGCCTCAGTCTCGTATTCAAAAACTCTAGGATGTGTTTCAGAATTTTCCAGATTTTAGAAAGATAAGGTGGGTAATACCGGAGATTATGTTGCAGCCCTCCATGATCAAGCACATTTTCTAGAGCAAGTCTACAGACGTAACCCTAAGCAGGACAAATAAATACAAGAACCAGCCTCCTATCAGTTCAAGTCAGGTGTTGCCAGTAAATCAGTTAAGAAGGAATTTGGGCTTTCAGAGCTTTTCATATTTTGGAATTGAAACTAGAGGACTGTGGGCAAGTAAGGGTTCAGTGCTTAGGACAGTGCTGCGCATTTAATGAGTGTCACAGAAATGTTAGCTATTATTAGAATCTAATCCGAGGAGGGGTAGACTCAACCCTGGGCACCTGGTTGGGCACCTGCCCAACCCACAGCCTCTCCCTGTTGCTCCTTTTGATAAAAGAACCCCATTATCTCCCAGCTGTAGGTTGCTCTCTCCTGATCATTGGCTCAACCAAACTTTGCAATCCTAATTCAATTTGCAGGGTTTTTTAGGGATTGGCATGGGACCTGATTCTGGCCAATGAGATTGAAGAGGTTTGCTGAGGGCTCCTGGGAAAGGTTTTCCTTTCTGATTAAAAAGAAAGAAAGAAAGAAAGAAAAGGGAGAGCCATGTGATGAGGAGCCTCTTTCTTCCTGCTTTTGAAAGCAGTTGACTGAGGATGTGATGGCCAGCGCTGTAGTAGCCATCTTGCTAGGATGAGGTCATGAGACTCAGGGAAAACACTGACATGGTTGAGCTGCTAAATTAACCATTTCTGGAATCACCTATGGCCACTCTCCCTAATTGAAATAACAGATCCTTTTGGGTTAAGCTCTATTAGTTTGGTATCTGTTACTTACATCCCGAAACATCCTCACTGCTGCAGAGTTGTTGTGAGGATTGAATGAGATAATGGGCAAATGATCAAACTAGCTCTGAATTTTGTTAAGGATGGAGAAGAGGAGGGCGCCTGAGTGGCTCAGTTGGTTAAGCGACTGCCTTCGGCTCAGGTCATGATCCTGGAGTCCCTGGATCGAGTCCCACATCGGGCTCCCTGCTCGGCGGGGAGTCTGCTTCTCCCTCTGACCCTCTTCCCTCTCGTGCTCTCTATCTCTCATTCTCTCTCTCTCTCAAATAAATAAATAAAATCTTTAAAAAAAAAAAAGGATGGAGAAGAGGAGGTGGCTTTTCTGGTGCATGGTAGGGGCACCAGTAGATCTTGAGGACCAACCAGAATGTGGGTTTTGGGGGAAGAAATTCACCATCAGGTCTCAGGATGTGGTAGCCTTTTCTCAAATCTGCACAGACCTGGTAAAGCCAGACCCTGCCCTGCAGGCCCACGGGGGAGGAGGGAGGTTTGGAGAGTGAATAAATTGAGCACCTTCTATGTGCCAGGCGCTAAATGTCTTACACATTTATCTCATCTTATATGCACAGTAATAATAGTCCCTTAAGGAGCAAGGGCCCTTATTCCAACTTTGCTGCTGAAGAAACAGACCCTGAGAGGTGGAGCAGTGATGTCACTGAGAGTGTGAACACAGACCGTCTGACCCCAAAGCCAATGGTCTTGTCCATTCCCTCCCCCACACACCCACACACGCACACTCCAGACCCCTGTTTCTGGGTGACTTGGAGCTCCAGCCTCCCAGAGCGATTGGGGTACCAAACAAGACTAGGCACAAGGCTTTCCAGCCTCTTCCAAGTCAAGGGGTCCCAGCCCATCATGGGGATACGGCGTCTACAGGTGGTAGGCTCTGACTCTCCTGCGCACCCCAGCCAAGCCCCCTCCTACTCACCTGTCTCCAGAGTAGATGCAGCCAGGGCAGCCGCCCCCAGCAGAAGCAGCCTTTGGGGCTCCATCCAGGCCCTGCTGTGCCCAGCAAGGGGGCAGACCTGCAGAATCCTCAGTTTGGGGTCTTTGGGGAGACTAGGGTATGAGGGCCTGGAAGACAGGCTGGCAGGACACAAGGAGCAACGGGAGGTAAGTCCACCAGCCCTCTGGTCTCTTTATAGTGATCTTTGTGCTCCAGATCCTTCTTCAGATCAGGATTGTGTCTAGGGTTGCCGTGGAGATTTGGGGCTGAGGCTGGAGACGGGGGAAAGAAGGCGGGAAAGATGTCTGCTCACCCCCTGCCAGACAGGAACCATGGAGACTCAGATCCGGTTCTCCCACAAGGCTTCTGGGAGGGGGACCCAGCGCCTCAGAGAGCTACTACTCTCTGGATAAGTTGACACCTTAGGACTGAGCTTGAGGGAGGCCCAGGACATCAAAGGGCAGCTCTGAGGGCCCTACAGAGGCAGCGAGTGGCAAAGGAGCACTAGACCAGGAGTTCCTACCCCAGGGCCTTTGCACTCACAGTTCCCTCCACCTGGAGTGCTCTTCTCCCATAGTGTTCCATGTCTGGCTTCTTCAGGTCTTTCAGGTTTTGACTCACATGTCACCTCCTCAGACCACACTTCCCAGATCACCTTTCCGTCTGAATTAGTACTTTCCCTCCTTGTCTCTCAGTCACATCTCCCAGAATTTATTATCTTAGAACTCACTCAAATTACTGGGCTGACTGATATCTTGTGTATATTATCTATTGGCCCCACTAAAATTGCATTCCACAAGGGTCTTGTTGATCTCTGAACCCCCAGGTCATAACACAGTGCCTGGCACAGGGCAGGCATCCAAAAAATAAGAATAAGTAAATAAAAATAAAAATTTAAAAACAAACAAAATAGAATTGAGCACATGACCTCTCTTTTGCTGGGTTCAACTTCCCCATGTAGAAAAGAAAGGACTTGGACCATTTCAGGATTTTCCAAAACTTGTTATTAGACCAATGTTTTTCATGGGACATGGGGCCGGCTCAGTCAGTGGAGCACGCAACTCTTGATCTCGGGGTTGTGGGTTTGAGCCCCACGTTGGGAATAGAGATTACGTAAAAATAAATTTTTTTTTTAAAAAAAGAACAGGGTGCCTGGGTGGCTCAGTTGGTTAAGCGACTGCCTTCAGCTCAGGTCATGATCCTGGAGTCCCTGGATTGAGTCCCACATCGGGCTCCCTGCTCAGCGGGGAGTCTGCTTCTCCCTCTGACCCTCCCCCCTCTCATGTGCTTTCTCTCTCATTCTCTCTCTCTCAAATAAAGGAATAAAATCTTTAAAAAAATAAAAATAAAAAAAGAACAATTTTGGGGCACCTGGGTGGCTCAGATGGTTAAGCATCCGCCTTCAGCTCAGGTCATGATCCCAAGATCCTGGGATCGAGCCCCACATCGGGCTCCTGGCTCAGCAGGGAGCCTGCTTCTCCCTCTCCCTCTGCCTCTCTCCCTGCCTCTCCCCCTGCTCGTGCTCTCTCTCTCTCTCTCTCTCTCTCTCTCTCTATCTCTGTGTCTCAAATGAATAAATCAAATCTTTTTAAAAAATAAATAAGTAAAATAAAAAAGAACAATTTTTTCAGAAGTTTTCTTACATGGAACCTTTTTTTTTTAGATTTTATTTATTTATTTGAGAGAGAGTGTGTGCATGAGCGTGGGGCAGGGGTGGAGGGAGAGGGAGAAGCAGACTCCCTGCTGAGCAGGGAGCCCAGTGTGGGGCATCCCAGGACCCCAAGATCATGACCTGAGCTGAAGGCAGATATTTAACCAACTGAGACTCCCAGGCGCCCCTACATGGAACTTTTAATATATAAATGATAATTCTAACTTCACAGGTTTCTTGTAAGGATTGAGTCGCATTAGAATAGTGTCTGTCACATTGTAAAGTGCCCAGTGCATGCTAGGCTGAGTGATGACTCTTAATATTATTATTTAAACAGGTGCACCACATTTCAAGAAGTGCCCAGTTGTAGCCTTTGAGATACCACCTCAGAGTCCCAAGACTCTATTGGGAAGGTTAAAACCACTGGCCCTGGGGCACTAAAGCGGCTCAGTCAGTTAAGCATCAGACTCTTGGTTTTGGCTCAGATCATGATCTCAGGGTCATGAGATCAAGTCCCGTGTTGGGCTCCACACTCAGCATGGAGTCTGCTTGACATTCTCTCCCTCTCCCTCTGCCCATTCCCCCACTTGTGTGCTGGTGCTCTCACCCTCTGTCTTCCTCTCTATAAAACAAAAACGAAAAAAAAAAAAAACCCAGCCATGGGTCCCAAAGCTCTCTAACAGCTGTCCCTGCCAGAGCTGACATTCGATGCTACCTTGTACGTCATCCCAGCCCAGGCCTGGGGGTTCCGAGAGGACGCGAGTCTGCTTCAGCAGAGGTAGATTTACCATGAAGCCTGTGAAGCTTAAGCTTTAGGACACTTTGGGCGCCTGGGTGGCGCAGTTGGTTGAGCGACTGCCTTCGGCTCAGGTCATGATCCTGGAGTCCTGGGATTGAGTCCCGCATCAGGCTCCCTGCTCAACGGGGAGTCTGCTTCTCCCTCTGACCCTCTTCCCTCTCGTGCTCTCTCTCATTCTCTCTCAAACAAATAAATAAAATCTTTTAAAAAAAAAAAAGGACACATTACTTGCATGGGGTTATATGTCTTATAAAATTTGCAAAAGTAAGATATTCTAACCACAGGGCGCCTGGGTGGCTCAGTTGGTTAAGCGACTGCCTTCAGCTCAGGTCATGATCCCGGAGTCCCGGGATCGAGTCCCGCATCGGGCTTCCTGATCGGCGAGGAGCCTGCTTCTCCCTCTGACCCTCCCCCCGTCTCATGTACTCTCTCTCATTCTCGCTCTCTCAAATAAATAAATACATCTTTAAAAAAAAATAGATATTCTAACAGATCACTGTCTCTTTCCACCCCGTCTCCTCCAACACACCTCGCTTCAATGCCATGGGCGTTTTTGGACTCCCACTCGCTAAAGGAAGGTTGGTTTGGGTTTGGGTTTGGCGGATATATGAATGGGGTTCTAGCTTCTTCTGGGTCTAGTTTTATTATTTCTGGATGCTCCAAAATGGCTTCTGGGAATATTCCTCATGCCCACTGTACTGTCCGCCCCCATGTTGTGATATGGAGGTGCAGAATCAGAGACCCTTATCATGCCTGGCCTGTCTGCTATGAGGGTGTTGGAGCTGAAATAAGGTTTGAAATGTATGAAGCCAGAAGCTACTCTGTGGAAAATCCTTCCAAACCTTATAGCTCACATATATAAGATGCTTGATAGAGGTTATGCCAAGTTTCACAACAATCCTTTTTTTTTTTTTAAGATTTTATTTTTAGGGGCACCTGGTGGCTCAGTCAGTTAAGTAGCTGCCTTCAGCTCAGGTCATGATCTCAGGGCCCTGGGATAGAGCCCCACATTAGGCTCCCTGCTCCGAAGGGAGACTGCTTCTCCCTCTCCCACTCCCCCTGCTTGTGTTCCCTCTCTCTCTGTGTCTCTGTCTGTCAAATAAATAAATTAAATCTTAAAAAAAATCTTACTTAAAAAATAAGGGACACCTGGGTGGCTCAATCAGTTAAGCATCCAACTCTTGATCTCCGCTCAGGTCATGATTTCATGGTCATGAGTTCAAGCAAGGCATTGGATTCCACGCTGGGTATGGAGCCTACTTAAAAATAAATGGGGCACCTGGGAGTCTCAGTTAGTTAAGCATCTGCCTTTGGCTCAGGTCATGATCTCAGGGTCCTGAGATTGAGCCCCATGTCAGGCTCTCTGCTCAGCAGAGAGTCTGCTTCTCCCTCTCCCTCTGTGCACGCTCTCTCTTTCAAATAAATAAATAAAATATTTTTTAAATACTTATTTTAAAAGAAAGCATTTAAAAAATTAAAAAATAAAAGAAGGTTGTAATTTCCTTTTTCAAATATCACTAACCTCTGTTACAGGCATTGGAGATATTTCAGGGAACAGAATAAACAAAAACTCTACTCTTGTAGAACTTACATCCTAATGGATAAAGGAGTAAAATGTGCAATGCATTGAATAGTAATAAATACTTTTTAGCCTGTGTTGTTCCTGATTTTATTTATTTTTTAAATTTATTTATTTTTATTTAAATTCAATTAACATATAATGTATTATTGCTTCAGAGGTAGAGGTCAGTGATTCATCAGTCTTTCATAATGCCCAGCGTTCATTACATCATGTACCTTCCTAAACGTCCATCCTGCAGTTACCCCACCTGTGAATAGTGATAAATATTAAGAAGAAAAAACATAAAGCAAGGTGGGGAGATGTGAAATGTCAGAGAGCCGCTGAAATTTTGATAGGATATCCTGGGAAGGCCTCATGGAGAAGGGTCTTTTGAGTGAAGATCTAAAGGAAATGAGGGAGCCAGCCATGTAGTTATTTGTCGCCACAGGCGACAGCAGTATGGAGCAATGCAATTGCACCCCGAATGCAACTACGGAGCGAGTGACAAGAGATGAGTTAGATCAGTAAAGCCCTAGTGGTTATCATAAGGACTTTGGCTTTTTCTCCAGCTGAGACAAGAACCACTGGACAGGGCCAAATGCTACAGAACCAGACAGGAGACTCTTTTAATAAGTCTAAAAAAGATGGTAGCCTGAACTAGGATGGCAAGAAGTGGTCAGATTCTGGACATATTTTGAAGGTGCAGCCAATAGGATTTGCTGACAGGTTGGACTTGGATGTGAAGGAAAGATGAGTCAAGGATGGCACCCTGAGTTTCAGCCTGGCGTCTGGAAGGATGGCATTGCCATAACTGGGATGGGGGAGGATGAGGCTCTCAGCTTTGGATTCATTCTGATTGAGATGACCATTAATTAGCCTTTCCAGCGGAGGTGACAAGTGGCAGTTGGATCTCTGAGTCTGGAGTCCGGGGGTGGGGGGGTGTGGGCTGGGGATATAATTTGGGGAGCAGTGGCTTGTGGATAGTATGTAAAGTCACACGATGGGATGAGTCTTCCATGGAGTGAGCAGAGGAAG